TACCTGTCCAACCTCATATATATAATTAGAGGGCTGCAAAAATTCTATAGTCTGACCTCATCCTTTACCTGGCATGTCTCATTTCTTCCTCTATCCATTCCCATAGTTATGTTCCATCACCACTAGGAAGCTCGAAATCCGTCAACTCACCTTGCATTTCGTACAATTTACGGTGTTTCTAGAGCTGGATACCTGAGCTTGAAAAATTCTCTGTCCATTTTCCGCAATCAAAAATCTCCCTCTTGCCAAGACCAACCTCAGTGTTGCGGCTTTCATAAAGCCTTTCCCGCTATCCCCTGTTAGAATTGATTCTTCCTCTGCTCCCATAGCATTGTTTTTATTACAGAATGCCTTCTATTTCAGATTTTAGTTAATAATTACTTGTCTTTTTAAACCATAGGTGCCTTGAGAGGGCAGAGACCCTGTCTTATCCATATCTGTAGTTCCAGGACCTTGCTCATGGGAAGCGCTCAATAAATATTTAAGTGAAAGCTGGGGTTCAAGTACAGATAGTTCAAAGGCAAAAATCTCATTTATTCATTTATGGCCCACTGAACCACTGCCCTGGAACAGTTAAGCCTAATTAAGAGAAGGGAAGGCAGCACACCTTTTGGAAATGAGATCTTTAGGTAGGTGGGCCCATTTTACATACACGCACACCCTCTCCTTAGGAGAAAGTAGAGCCTGGGAGCTGACTCTCCAGCAAGCTGGAAGATAGTGCTAAACCAACCAAGGCAGAAGTAGGAATCCTGGTAATTACTGGGACCTAAGTTCTCCGCTAGACCTGGGGCACGGTTCCCCAAAACCAGGCAGCAAGTCGGTTGTCTCTCCTGGCTCAGTGGGCCCTCCTTCCTCATTCCCAAGGTCTTCAGGCAGCGGGCAGAGGCAACGGAGGGGCTGGGGGATGTGGGTACACAGGTTTGGGACGGGGAAAGGAAGATCATACTCTCGAGCAGCCTTCCTCTTGGACTTCAGAGGCATCCAAGCCTCTTGGGCAGAGAAAGGAGATGGCAGCCCTTGACCTAGGCCTCTCTCAAGCTGTGTGCCTGCAAAAGAGATTGGTCAGGCCATTGCCCACCCCAGGGAGTGATGACTTCCTGACCACCTCCCAGTCTGATAGGGCCTATCCTCAACTTACCAGGAATGGTGTTCTCTAGGAGGAATCCCAAGAATCCCGCCAAGAAAATGGGTTCTGTGAGCAGCGAGCGAAGTAACACATCCAAGGGGCTCCAGCCTATAGGGATTTGGGGCCAGGCAGGAGGGGAACCCTGATCCAATGAAAGGTCCTAAACCTAAGTCTTAGACTAAGGACAGATCTTTCTGAATTGTTGCTCCACTCCCTTTGTCCTTTGTCCCTCTACTCTCTACTTCCCATACCCAGGCCCTTGCCATAGGATCTCTGCTCAATACCCTATCTCCACAAGCCCTCCAGATGTGCTTTGATAGTTCTAGGCTCCCTGTCTCTGGAAAGTTTGGTATTAAAAGCCCCAACCTTATTTCCCACTTACCTTCTATGCTCTAGCGTAGGTTTCTCAATCTCAGTACTACTAACAGTTTAGACCAGAAAACTCTTTGAGGGGAGCTGTCCCGTGCACTGTAGGATGTTTAGCAGCGTCACTCTACCTACTACATGCCAGTTAACAATCCCTCCTCCCCTGTTTGTAACAGCTAAAAATGTCTCCAGACATTGTCAAATATTCCCTGTGGGGCAAAACCATCCTCAGTTGAGAGCCACTGTTATTTGCTTAGCTGAGCTAACAAACTAAGCTATTTGCTGCTTCCAGGACATCCCTGTGACTTCCTACTTCTATGTCTTGGTTTATGATGGTTCTTCCACCAGAAATGACCTTCTCACCAAATGTGTTTAAATCTTCCCATCCTTCAAGACTAGCTTGATGTTACTATCTCCATAAAACTTAACTGAATCATCTCAAACAGAAGACATCGATCTTTCTCACCACCGAGCAGCACGGCTCTTTCTCTGAACCTTTCCTGGTATGTGCCTACACATCTGAATGCACCTTTGTTTCCCAAGGGACATCATGGTGCTCAATAAATACTTGCTGAAAAAATCGAACTATTCATACCAAAGCTCAGAGAAGAGTGTGGAGCCTGGAGTCCAAAGAGCCTGAATCCTCAAGCCCTTGCTTTCCACCTACCAAGCAATCCCTCTTCCCCTCCCCACTCCTCCTACCTGTGCTCAGCAGGACTGGGGCTTCCCGAAGCCATCTTGGCAGCAGCAGGGCCATGAAGATGGCAAAGCCAACAATGAAGACATTCCGCCCAGAGTCGATGTCAGCTAAGTGGAAGCTGGAGAATCCAGTAGACAGAACCACGGCCTGGGTCACCCCTAGCACCCCACCTGTCTCATATGAAAATAATCAAAGGGGTTAAGAGAGGGCTGGCATAGCAAGGAGTATGGCAGGGCAGGGCAGGGCAGGGCAGGTTGTGATGGAAAGAGATGACCAAAAGGCTAGTTTCTGATTCTTCCAGAAGACCAGAAGCCCAGTCAAGGGCTTCTGTTGGACTGAAAAAATGAGGGCAGCTGATATACACTCATATCTGTATATCAAGGAGGCTGTTCAGAAAGAAAGGGTACCAGCCACAAGCAACCAATTGGGTCACATTGGGGTGTGTGGGGGGTACTGGTTCAATACCAGTCCTACTGGTACATCCACTCACCAAGCACGGGTAGCGGGATGGTGGTGAGGAGCTGAGCCAGTCTTGGGGAGAGCCCAAGTCCCGCACAGAGCAGCCCCACCAAGTAGGCCACTCGCCGAGATCCAGCCTACGTGAAGAAAAGATGCCAGAAAACCCAGCCAACTTCTCAACTGTTCAGGGAGTTTGCCAGGCCAGCCCATTCTCACCATTTGGATCTCAGCTCAAATGTCACCCTTCCAAGAAGCATCCCTGAGCACTCCTTCACTCAACCACTATCCCTACTACCCTCCTCTGTTTTCTACCTCCTCCCCCCCGCCCCACACACACCACTTTGTTCTGTTTTCTTAATAGCACTTTTCACTCTCGGAAAATTACCTAATTTACATTTTTTTCTCAAACTGTCTCTCCCTCTCTGAAGTGCCCAAGAGAGCAGGGACTTTATCTGACTTGTCCTTCTCTGAAACCCCAGCCTTGGTCCAGTGCCTGAGGCACAGAAGGAATTCAGTATTGATCAGTGTCTTCCTCACACTCCTAGCCCCTTACCACTTCTAGGCACTTTCCTAAAAGAGATCATTTATGTGAAGGACCTGACAGAGTGCTGGGCACAGCTGGCAATCATTTAGTGTGAGTTCCCTTCCCTCTCCTGCACCTCCTGCACCTCCAGCACCCTCGCCCAAACCCACACCCCCATCCACATACCTGGATAAGACTTACTGTGCCCACATTGGGGAAGCTGGATGCAGTGCCCATGGGGCTCCCCAACAGCCCAGCCAGCACACTGCCCAGACCCTCCAGGCTCAGCCCTCGACTGCAGGCATGTGGAGGTGGAGAAGGCAAATGCAAAAGCCAGCCACACAAGGCATAGCAGCCCAGGGAGCTGGTGGAGGTTGCCAGGGCCATGGAGATGCCTGTAGTCAGAGCCCGGGGTGTCAGCAAGGGCCAGTCCCACTCAGCTGAGGAAAGAGAAAGAGTCACTTTGAGGCCAGACTCAAGTCTGGAGCATCCCCCTGCCTCCAAAGGCTTGTGCCAGAAGAATCCTAGCGGCCCCATTGTCTTTGAAGGTAATGTTTTGGGATAAAACTATCAAACTCTTAGGATAAAGACCATGCCTTTACTATGATCTACAAGGTCTTTTTTGGTCTGATCATTTGCCTCTCTCTAGCCTCATCTCCCACCGCGCTCTGCCTCATTTCCTTCACTCCAAATACACTGGCCTTGTTTCAGGCCCTTGTAGTTGCTGTGCTGCTGGCCACCACAGGGCCTTTGCATATGCTGTTCTCGCCACTTAGACTTCTCTTCTCTCTTTCTTCACCCAATTAACTCCTACTCATCTCTCATATCTCAGCTCAATGATCACTTCCTCAAGAATACCCTTCCTGACCTTGATAAAGTCAGACTCCCCATTAGAAGCTCTGATCACCCAACGTACCTCCCCTTTGTTACACTTACCACGTGCAGTTTTACATTTACAAATAGTATCTGTATTCCCCAACAGATTGTAAACTTCATAAGCACAGGTGCTTTGTCTGCCGTGTTTATCACTATGTTCCCTATCATATGTACTCAACAAACATTTATTACATTGATGAATGGGCAAATTTCATATACATTGCCTCAAAAGCAATCTTTATGCATAGGTCACCAACTCAAGTGCCTGTGAGGGTAGGTAACATAAATGTGTAAATTGGGTAAAGAGTATCAATAGGGAGTGGTAAGGTTTGCAAATGTCCCTTAACACTAAATAAAACACCTGTGGTGAGGGGCTAGCATTGCCCCTCAGACTGGCAATTTCTCTCCTCTGTGTGTTTTGAGAAAGCACAGGATTAAAGTCAGAAATGAAATTAATTAAGTCTTGAATTGAAAGAAATAGACACCTTTATTTTAGTAAAAAGATAGAAGACCAAGAGAAAATCTACCTGGGTGAGGCAGCCAAAACCATGGTGCCTCAGTGGGGGCAGACAACTCCAGGGGGGTGGCACTGAGACCCAGAATGGCAGAGACGATCCACACACAGGCTACCGGGACTAGGACCTGAGGAGCAAGACTGAGACAGAAAAGAACCCCTCCCCCAGATCCTTCAGGGCCAGCCTCAGAGGGGTAACAGAAGCCAAAGGGTAGAGGACCAAGCAAGCGTTCTGTGTCAGTCCTTCTAACCCCCACTGCCCCTGCCCTGACCCCTACGTACCGAGAAGAGCCGGAAGGCAGGGATGTGAGTGCGAGTTGAAGAGGTTGAAGCTGGCCTCCAGGGGCATGGGGGTAACTGGCAGGAGCCCAAATGCTGAGAACAGATCACCATGAGCAGGATAAGCCTAGGAGAGAGAGAGAGCTTTAGGAGCAAGAGGAAGCTGACATCCTGAGGGAGGTAGTGGAGGTAGAAGTGGCGGAATACCATAAAAGGGGGTCCCAAACCCAAAAGCTTCTGTGGACAGGGAAGGAGGACACCTTGGGGGTCAGCGGGAGACGGCGTGAAAATCAGAGAGACCAGATAAATCTAGCCAGAGCCCTTGATTCCAAATCCACAAAGCATTGTCCTTGCCAGACAGCTGCTCATTCTGGCCTAGCCAGCAGCTCTGCCATCCCACCGTCCCACACACCCTATACTTGGTCACCATCCTGTACTTCTCAGAACTTACGTACAGCAAGGCCAGCCCCCAGTGAGCAGAGCAGAACAGAGCAACCTCCTTGTGAGCAGAGAACCCTGCCACGATCAGGCTGGGGGCCAGTACCAGGGGCCCACAGTAGAGGAACAAGTGGCCAGGAACCCCTAACAGCCCCAGCGTGCCCTGCAGCAGCCCGGACACCACCACTGCCCCAGACACCTAGTGAAGAAGAGGAGAAGACAGAGAGAAAACATTCAGTTTGACTGAGTTGACCTCAGCCTGGACTTCCTATCTACTTCCAGGGGTGGGTCCCTCACCCACCTCCTTCCCCGAGAGCAGCTCAGTCCTTGCATAATGGAAACCAGAACCTCTCCAATCCCAGCACCACCCCTGTCCTCCTGCTCCTATTCCCAAGCACTTACCTCTCGGAGAGAACTGTTCCAGAGCTCCAAGCCATGACAGCCAGGCCCCTCACACAGGTGCAGCATCAGAGAGGCTGGGAAAGTTGGGGGCATGGAGAGCAGAGAGGTAAATGGGATGTAGATTCATTGCTCTGCAGTCCTAACTGGTGCCTGGCACAGCTCCAAGACACCACAGTGCCTAGCAGTCCCATCATTGCCCATTCTCAACCCTGCACTCACCTATACCTATATGCTTAAATTAGGACCCAATCCCATCTTTACCTCATGCCCTTGTTCTGTACTCACAGTTTCCAGGTGTCTGGATGGCCAGAGGTAGCTTCTGGCTGGTCAGCACCAGAGCAGGGAAAAGGAACTCAAAGGATGGAGCCTGGACAAGAGGCAGCCTGTAGGTACAGTGGTCCTGATAGGTCTGGAAACAGGTGGCCGCCAAAAGGACTCCCCAAGCCCTTCCTACTTCCTAAGGCAATGTCCCCCTCCCTCCAAGGAGTTCCCCTTACCTGCTGCCCATCCAAGTTTGCAGGGCAGTAGACACACCACACGAAAAGAGGCTAGAGGCCAGGATCTGGGCAGGGGAATAAGAGAGTCCTCCTCGGGAGAGACTTCGAAGCAGGAGCAGGTGGGAGGCACAGAGCAGAGAAGTCAGGACCAAAATATGCTGCAAGGAGTGGAATGGAAAGGGTCAGACTTCAGAAATAGAAAGAAATATCTAGTTATGGAGGGTCTCTCGTGCCACATCTACTCCTCCAAACAACTCCTTCAGCCAGCACCAACTCCTGCACATACACTTCCTACCTGCAGAGCCAGAAGACAGCAGAGACCCCAGGAAAGAGGTCCATGTGGAGAGGCCCAAGAGTGGGAGGAGGGATTTTGGATAGCAGGTGGCAGCGGCAGGGGAGCCTGGTTATCCTGGGAGCCCACAGATCGAAGTTGGATGGGATGGGGGTGTGATCGGCTCATGCTGTCTTGTCTTTCGTCTTGTTTTGACTACCCTGGGCCAGAGTTAAGTAGAAAGAGTAAGAGGTCAGAGTTTGAGTGAAGTTAGTTGCCTGGAATGGGAAGGGGGTGGGGTGTCAATGAAGCAGAGCAAAGGAATGAAGGATTTAGGGAAGGCCCTTTCACCTTTGCTCAGCTCTTGTACAAATTCCATCACGCATTAACCCAGGAGCCATGTTCTGGACCCCTCCCCCAAGAATCTCTATTCAGATCCCCTGTTCCCGGCTCTGTAAAGCAGGATAGGGGGGATGGGGAGACTGAGAGAATAACCTGGGGACATTTTAGACAGTATCTCCTCCTCACCACCAATTTGGAAACATCATTGCAGCCCTCAACCTTTTCAGGTCAAGCCCCCTGGACTACCTCAAAAGGAAATGCATGGGTAATGGGTGACACGCATGACAACATAAGTGAGAACATTTATATAAAGTCCTCACTGTAGTATGAGAAATAAAAGTAATTTGTAATAACAAGTCTTTCATTATGTGAAAACTGGGGCTCGACTAACCCAAAACACAGGGAAGCGGTCCAGTCCCTGCACCCATGTGCACAATCACTGCGGATGTGGCAGCTACAATGCCAACTGACACTGGTAATGCTTTCCTGGTGACTCATTACCATAGGCAGTGCTGCCATTGGAGACGTGATGCTCCAAAACAGTGAAAAAGTTCATGGTTAAGTGCTGAACAAAGCAAATTAAGTTTTAATTTACACAGAGGTGCATTCCTGGGAAACTGAGTCTTTTTCAAAATGTGCAAAATCGACCTCGTGTTTACACGTAGAAAGTTAGATAGCTCTCAGCTCAGATAAACAGGATTTTCATATACATGATGTCTAGCCAGTCATTCCAAAGTTGTCTTGGGAATGCTTCCTAACAAGGGTGGTCCTGAGCATTTCAGGATGTCCAGCATCCTGCCCAGGCCAAGTAAATGCCAGTAGCATCCCTTTAAATTTTTGCATCAAAAAATGCCCCCTAAATTTCCAAAATGTCCCCTAGAGGGCAGTACCACCCCTGCTGTGGATCATCATAAGCAGTCCCAAATAGCCAGTCCAGCTGCCCAGAGCAGTTTTTCTTCTTCCAACCATAACCCAGCCTTGGAGTTCTCTTAACCGTACCACCACCACGTGTCACACCAAATTGGAAGTCAAGATCAAGAAATGTTCTCGGGGCTTGCTCTCAAGAAGTTGATGGGGCTCTGCTGGATACTTGGCTTGGCCTCACTCCACCAGATGTGCTTCAGAATCCACAAGACTGGTGCTCACCCAGAAGTTGCGACAGGGCCAACCTCAAGTATGGTACAGTCACTATCTATACACCACAGCACTCAAGTCAGGCAGCGCTAGTGACCCCAGGTGCTGGGAGAGGGACAAAGGTTAAGTTTGAAATGGGAGCCTATGACTATCAAACAGGGAAATGGGGCTGAGAGAGAATCAGTTGCAAGATGATGGGATCAGGAAATAGAGAGGCTTAGAAGACAGATATGGGAAAGAAAGTTCTTCCAAGGGCTGTCGCAGAAACAAGAGTCCAGGCCATGCAACTGAAACTGTTTATTGAAACCTCAGTTCTACAAAAGCATGAAAAACCCAGATACAAAGCGGTGGCCAGAGAGGCCTATGAAGAGAACACCCAAGAGAGGAACCGGAAGAGAAGGAAGCCCAGGAGCAGGGTACTAAGAGAAGGCTGGAAGACAAAACGGCAAAGTAGGACGTCCCAGCAGTTCGTGGCTCCCTTGAACTACACCCAAGGGATGGGTGTTGAGAGAGCTTCCTACCTCATCCCACCTCCCCTCAGTAGCTTCCATCTCGGCCCTATCAATCCCTGGCTCCCCTGCTTCAGGGACATCACACAGACCCTGGTCAACATCCTTCCCTCCCTCCCCCGACATCTCCCCCCTCCCATCTTTACCCTTCCATCCTAGGGAACGCAAAAGCAAAAGTCTAGAAGGACCCAGGGAAGGTTAAGAGACAGGGGCTTCTCCACTGTCCATCTGTGACAGGCCCCTGATCACTGAGTTGAAGCTTTCCCTGGTACCATCACTGCCCTGGCCAAGAAGCCAGCCCCTGAGGTCTAGGAGAGCAAGTGACCTTCAGTCCTTCAGCCCCGTAATTCCTCATCCGGAAGAGGGGACCAGGCAAGGACTCAGAGAGGTAGGGAGGATCTAAACAAGCACTGCACCTCCAGGTTCTCAGGGACTTCCAAGTCCTCTTAACACATTTCTCGGAGCCCTACCTAGCCTGGGAAAATGAAAGACTTGAGGCGGGCCAGCTCCATGATTCTGAAAAGTGAACATTGCTGGGGCTGTGGGAGAAGAGGAGGCATTGGGCTCCAGGACCATGGTGGAGCCAGGCCATGGGAGTGGTACCAGGGGCTGGAAGGCCCAGTGCGGACAGTATGATTGGGGTGGTGGCAGGCATGGCAGGTTGGGGAGTCTTTCTGGAGCTTCTGACAAAGGGGACAGTTATGGAGAAGAGTGGGAGGGGCAGGAGGATCTGGGGGAGGCAATGGTGGGGGAGTCAATGAGGCCAGAAGACTGCCCCAGAGTGAACGCAGCCCGACGTCGCCTTCTAGGCAGGTGGAGACATTAGCAGAAGGTGACAGGCACTGTGGCACAGGAGAAGGTATGCAGGGTTCCAAGAGGCACCTGGAGGCCAATCCAAGATCCGGGGGCCCAGGTGGTGGGCTGCAGGACAGCCCTAAAGACTGGTGTATTACAGCTACAGACGCCATAGCCAGGGCCACACTGCTCACATATGCCATAGCTACCAAGCAGGACAGCTGCAGGAGAGAAGATAAGAAAGGTCAGTGCCAAACACACTTCCCATAAAACCTGCTTCTGATCGTCTTTAACACACCCACTTTCTGTCTCTAGAAGTTCAAATTAGAGGCCTATGTCACTACCTACTCCCCAACCCCATCTCCCGAACCTTTCAGCATTTATTTTACATCATTTTACCCAAACGCTAGCCCACTCAAGCCTCCTATCCTTTCTGACCCCTCCTCACCTTTGCCAGCTGCTGACAGAGGGAACCCAGGGCCAGCTGCCAAGCCGGCTGCTCCAGCAGCACACACAGGTCTGTGTAGGTATACCAGCCCCGTCGCCGTCCTTGCTGTTCGGCCACACTGTTGGGAGGGGAGAAAAGAGACAGAGCACCTGCAACACTCCTGCAGCCAGCCCAATGGCACTCTCATTCCCCCTGGGACCCACCAAGGAACTGGGGAACTTGTTAAACACACAGGTTCCTAGGCTGCCTATTGATCCAGAAACTGAGGGTGAGATCAAGATCTGTTATTTTTGATAAGCTTCTCCCATCCTCCCAAAGAGGGCAGGCAGGTTTGGGAACCACTACCTTCAGCTAGCCTCTTTCCTGTCTCCTCCCTCCCCTGAGTCACACAGACCCTTGTCTCTGTCTAGTTCCTACAGCTTAGGCCTCAGCCCCCAAATCCCTCAAACACCTCTTCCTAACTCCTAGAACCTACCTGCTCTCTAGCCAGCTCAGCACCTCAAAGATCTCCCGAGGGTCAGTGTAGAGACGCCAATCCTGTGGGTATAAAGAGGGCACCAAACCAGGCTCGAATATGAGCCACTTCAATAATCAGAGCTGCAGAATCAACTACAACCACCACCACAGGTAACGCCTAATTGGCACTATGTGCCAGATACTGTTCCAAGAGCTTTTTCTCTATTAACTCATTTAATAATCACATATCTGGTTTCATATTACATATTCCACTAAGGGTAAGGGGAGAAAATAATCTGCAATCGTCCATGCCCATAGGGAACTCAGAATCTAGGGGCAGAGAAAGTGTGGAAGCAAATAATCAGAACCCAGTAAGATAAGCTCTGACTCAAAGTGTACCCTGTTGGGCTGGGAGGAATGGGGGAACGGCTATGCTCCTTCTCTGGCCTCACCACACCAGGAATCTCCAAAGGCTGTGATTACTCCAGAGAGCTAAGAAGGGGAAATACTAACAAAGAAAGCCACAAGGAAGACAGGCAGAAAGAGAAATGAAGAAACAACAGAAGGCTGAGAGAGAAAAAACAAAGGGCCAGGGAAACAGAGCAAGAAAGAGAACAGCTACTCACCATGGCACTCAAAAAGCCCCTCTCCAGGGCATTGAGAGTCGGCATGGCCACACCCCCTGCAGCTCCCCATTCATCATTGAAGACTTCCTCTTCCTCCCCTTCATCATAGAGGTACTTACTGGCCACCATCTACAGAAAAGCCAGTGGTGGTGTCAGCAGAGCTCAAACCGGGCTCCTTGGCTCACAGGGGTGATGAAGGGAAGGGAGAGTCTTACCATGGAGATCAAGAACAAGTCAGAGGAGGACACATGCTGTAGGTAGTCCGGATTTCGGTGCCGGAGGCGCTCAATGTACACCAGAGCTAGCATCATAGCACATGGGGAGATGCATGCCTCCCTGGGTGGTGGAAAGGATTAGTAATTAAACCCAAGAGTCTTTCAGCTCTTGTAGTTCTTATAATGCTCATCCCTGTGTCTTTACATCTTCGCTTTAGAGATAACCATTCCCTTCTCTCTAGGATCCAAACACTCTCATCCTGTCTCCCTCAGTTCCAGGCTCACCGGGACACATGGGCTACATATTTCTTCTGGAGTCGGCGAATAGGGCTGGGGGCTGCCTTCTGGAGCAGTTCCACAGCAATGTCTGCAGAGGACAGAATGAAGACAGTGAGCAAACAACTCCCCACTAGTAGTCCCCACTGCTATCAGTAGAAGACCCACATCTGCATTATCTGAGGCCTTGGAGACTGGACCATAGAAACAAAACAGAGATCAAATTCTCCCACACTGAAGCAAAAAGCCCATCTTAAGTTTGAATTTCAGCTTCTCCCACCAGGAAGGCCTATTTTCCTGTCATCTTAAATTATTTAGACTCGTCTTCCACTCATTCATTTGAGAAATAAACATGCCTTGTTTATTTGAGAAACATACAGTAGACAGTCTTAGAAAACTAAGAGTTCATAGTATACAAATCAAGAGTGACACTGAGTAATGTTCTTTACTCATTTGAGCTAAAAAAAAAAAAAAAAAAAGTGAACTTTAAACTCACTTCTTACACCAAATACCAATGAGCTAGCTAGCTATGAAGAGACAGGACAGCTCATGGGGTACACCTAGAATTGTTTTGGTGCCCGCTGACAACCCCATTTTCATGTTTCTCATCTGCCCAGTCACACGACATTGTCTAACCTGCCATGGGGCTGGAGAGCTCCTCCAGGCTACAGTCAGCTTCCCAGTCCCAACCATAGTAGAGTCTTCTTCGGATCCGGGCACTCAGCCTCTGGTGTCCCGGGAGGAACTGAAACAGGGCAGGAGGGTGGTGGAGGGTGAAGGGCAGGGAAGGGTATGACGGAGATCCTGGCTGCGGGCTAGAAGGGGGTGCGGGGCAGCAGGCTAGCCTCACGGCTAGTGGGTCGGGTGCCCACCTAGCCCGCGTTCTTGGGATTGTTTACCAATGGCAGACGCCTCCACAGAGGGATTCTCTCCCCAGGAGAGATTCTCCGAGAAGGGCCCCGGCCGACCACCCCTACCGCCAATTCTGTACCCCGCAGCTCTTCCCCAGGGCCCAATCAGCCGGGGCCTCGAGTAGGCACGGCTCGAGCGGCTGCCTCTCAGCTCCCGGGCAGACCGTCAGGCGAGCTCGCGGCCCCGAAGGGGAGCGTCCGGGGTCCCGGCTCCCAGTGAGGGCAGGCCGGGGAGGGGCGAGCCGCGCGCTCACCGAGAAGTCCTGGAAACCGGTGAGGGAGAAGGTGCCTTCTTCGTCCAGCAGGAGTCCGGCTAGGTCCATCGCGCCGCCAGCCGCCGCCCTGTGAAGGTGGAAGGGAGGGGAACGAGTTGTAAAGGGGCCGCGGAGGCGTCCCTGACCGCTGTCCACCTGCCAGCCCGTCTGCCCCGCGCGGGCCACCGCCCTTGCCAGTACCGCCCCCTCC